CATACAGGTAAGCAGCCTAGGGACCCAGTCTGAAGCTGCATGCATCCAGGAGATGCACCCTTTCATCCTTGCTTATCCTCAGGAGTGAGATATCTGCTACAATGACCCCTGCCTGTTGAAAGTGGTGGCAGAATTTACAATTTTGTCCCCAATCACCTGCAGTGAACCCCTTAAAAAACCACCTAAACCCATTGCCCTATCTTGAGCCCCTCCCCGGGCTGAACTAATCATGGTTAAGGCATTAGCTGAGCTCTGTGCTTGCCAAGAGAAAATGAGAAACAGATTCGTATGTATAAAGAGCTGTATTTTACTAGCATGATTCAATGTCGTGAGTGTACTAACAATCATGATTCTGTTTCTTGTGCTTCTTGTTTCAAGATGTGCTCCAATCCTTGGAGGACGATAAACAAGAACGCAGGGTGTGGACAGAGACTTTAAAAGAAAATTATAAAATAGACAGGCAGGATAAAAAGGGGAGTCAGTACCAAATTTTAATAGATCAGGAATGGATGATAAAAAATGATGGGTTTCAGAGGAACAGCCGTGTTAGTCTGTATTCGCAAAAAGAAAAGGAGTACTTGTGGCACCTTAGAGACTAACCAATTTATCTGAGCATGAGCTTTCGTGAGCTACAGCTCACTTCATCTGATGAAGTGAGCTGTAGCTCACGAAAGCTCATGCTCAAATAAATTGGTTAGTCTCTAAGGTGCCACAAGTACTCCTTTTCTTTTTGAAAAAATGATGGAGGACCAAACAGAGATGTTGGAAGTCCCTAATCATGCCGCAGGCAGAATTCATGTGTGCTCTCCTCCACTACAGCCAATACAGAACTGCTTGCCCTGCTCTCCCCAAACTCCTCCCATATATTCCTTCCAATCTCCTAACACATCTTGATACCCTATTCACTCTACCTCTACTCGACAGCTTCCAAAATGATAGCTGGACTTGCACTCAGCTCTGAGAGACCACCCTGCCCTTCATTGTCATCTCCCTTCCCATCAAGTGTTTTGTGTATGTTACTTATTTATATATAACAAAAAACAAAAATTATCTGAAAGATCACCAACCTTTATTTGTCTCCCACACACAGTGGTTGCTACTGAAATTAATACACAGTGGCAACTGGATCATTTGCAGACTACAAATCACAGTCAGGAATCATTAAGTTATCACCTTGCATGACAATTTTAAAGCATGGCAGAGAGCTGTACAGAAAGAGATATTAGTGGTGCTAATTGTCAAAATGGTGCCTCAAGGCCTTCCTGATTCGAATAGTACCCTGTTGTGTCCCTCTAATAGCCCTGGTATATGGCTGCTCAAAATCAGCTGCTAGGTGATCTGCCTCTGCATTCCACACCGCAGGGGGAAACTTTGGACCCTTAGCCTCACAAATATTATGGAGTGCACAGCAGGCTGCTAGGACCATGGGAATATCTTCCTCATTTAGGTCTAATCTGCCATTAAAAGCACGCTGGCGCTGCCTTTATCTGCCAAATGCAGATACCATTCTATGGTCATTATTCACCTCCTCAGCCTATTGTTGAAGTGCTCCTTGCTGCTGTCCAGGTTTCCCATATAAGGCTTCATAAGCCATAGGTGTAAGGGGCAGGCTGGGTCTCCCAGAATCACTATGGACATTTCAACATCCCCCACTGGAATGTTCTGGTCTGGAAAGAAAGTTCCTCCTTGCAGCTTTCCATACAGCAGTGGTTCTCAACCAACCCCGTGGGGGTCCACCAAGTAGGTTTCAGGGGGTCCACCAAGCAGGGCCAGCATTAGACTTGCTGGGGCCCAGTGCAGAAAGCCACCTGGAGCTGAAGCCAAAGCCGCAGCAACTTAGCTTTGTGGGATCCCCTGCCCAGGACCCCACGCCACAATTGCCTTGCTTGCTACCCCCAATGCCTGCCCTGGCTTTTATATGCAGAAAAACAGTTGTGGCACAAGTGGGCTGTGGAGTTTTTAATAGCACATTGGGGGGGGGGGGGGGGGGGGCTCAAAAAAAAAAAAGGTTGAGAACCCCTGCTACACAGGCCAATGTTCCTGAAGATGCATGTGTCATATACCTTCCCGGACCACCGTGTGTTGATGTCAGTAAAACGCCCATGGTGATCCACAGGCGCCTGCAATACCATAGAGAAGCACCCCTTTCTATTAATGTACTCCACTGCAAGACAGTCCGGGTCCAAAATCGGGATATGCGTGCCATTTACTGCCCTGCTGCAGTTAGGGAATCCAATTGCTGCAAAGCTACCCACTATTTCATGCATATTTCCAAGAGTCAAAGTCCTTCGTAGCAGGAAGAGACTAATGGCCCTGCACACTTGCCTTAACGCAGCCCCAACGGTGTACTTCCCGACGGCAAACTGATTTGCAACTGACTGGTAGAAGTCTGGAGTTGCCAGCTTCCACACAGCAATTGCCACGTGCTTCTCCACCAAGAGGGCGGCTCTCATTTTGATGTCCTTTTGCTACACCGCTGGGGTGAGCTCTGCACACAGTTCCAGGAAGATGGCTTTCCGCATCTGAAAGTTCTGCATCCACTGCTCGTCATCCCAGACCTGCATATCAGTGTGATCCCATCACTCATTGCTTGCTTCCTGAGCCCAAAAGCAAGGGTCCACCATGTGCTGCTGCTCCATGAATGCCAAAAGTACGCTGGTGTTGTTTCTTTCTAGGGCATGCAGCAGGTCAGGCAACTCTGATCCCTGTTCAGATGGGGTGCTCATGACAGACTGCATGACCAACCACGATGTGTTCACAACAGTGGAGAGCGGTGCAGGATCCATCTTTTCAGACAGAGATGGCAGCCATACAGCGAACAAAGGTCATTGAAAAATGCCGCAAAACACAGTTGGAAGCCCATGGAATGATGGGATGGAAAACACTGTATTGTGGGACACTGAGCCTGTAACCATGATGCACTGCGATCCACTCTGCCTTCCCACAACTCCTAGCTACAGAAAGTGATGAGTTGCACAGTGGGATAGCTACCCAGTTTACTTCATCCACTGTTGATGATAGAGCACCAACTGTGGATGCGCTCCGCCAACGGAAGGAGTGTCGTGTGAACATGCACAAGTTATGTAATTATACCGCTCTTTGATCGTCGGCATAACTTGCTCAACAAAACTCTTAAGTGTAAACAAGGCCTTACGCACATGCTTAACTTGACTGGCATGCACAGTCCCACTGAAGTCAGAGAGACTACTCGCAGTAATATAATTAAGCATATTTAAGTATCTGTAGAATTGGGGCCTTTTTAAAAGTTGTTTTTTTATCCTGCCTGCTAAAATAAGACATCTTGTCTTCTCTAAAGTCATTCATTACAAAGCTTATCATGTAAATATTTTACAGGTATCACAAATATAATCCTTTTAACTGGTGATAAAAAGTATCAAGGGCCACAGGAATAGGAAAAATAATCATGAATAGAAATGAATATATGTATAGTTATGAATGAATCGTCAAAGACGCTGGTAAGCCACCAAAAAACCCCCAAACAATTTGAGTATATCCCACAGAAAACAATCAACTCAATAATATGATATTTAAAATGAGTGTGAAAACCTGCACAATGAACATTGAACTAATGGAAAAGAACAGGCAGGGAATAGATGAAAAAAACCCATATTATTAAAACCAAGCAGGTGGAGCACTACAAATACTGAGAGTGACCTTTGGAGAAAAAATAATCAGTAAGGGATAATCACCTCATCACAGGTTTTGGCATACAACACGAAGTATTAGCTATTAATGTCTATATGAGAGACATCTTAGAAGAGCACAATGCATGATGCTCATCAAGCGCTCCAGTAAGAGCGCAATAGAGTGGGGAAACCTACAGTCTGTTTCAGGGTTGCTTTCCCTACCCCCAAAAAGAGGATCAGGCCCCACGTTTATTTTGTCCCGCAGTGTCCCCAGGAGCTGCAAGTAGCGCTGCGCCTAGTACGTGCTGAGCCGCCCTCAGAGCCGGCGGCTCCGAAGGGACTTCACACACCTCCCAGCCTCAGTGCTGACATGGGAGGGGCTGCTCTCCAGGCCTGTCTGCACACCCCCCTCAACCAGGCCAGTGCGGCTAGACCGGAACGGCCCGGCGCGGACAGGTTGGGCCGCTCTCCGTCCCAGCAGGGGCTATTCCCACACTGCCCCGGGTGCAGCCACCTCCACCCCGGGGCCGGGCTGGAGGAACTGACCCACCGATCGCGGTGCTGCACCGGGCCAGACGCGGCCTTTGAAGAGGGAGGGGGCGGCGAGGCTCAGCGGGGTGGGGACCCGCGGTGGGAGCCGGGCGGGGTAACCGGGCGGCTCCGGGCAGGCTGAGGGGAAGGGGGCCCCCGGGTGTTTGCTGCTGGCGGGGACACCCGAGTAACGGCAGCCGCATCCCCTCGGCGCGGGGGCTCTCACCTCTGGAACACGCCCCACAGGAAGTTGGGCTCCTGCATACCCGGGCCCCGCGCCGGGCCGATACTGATACCCTGCTGCCATCGCCCTCCCGCGCCACACAACCCTGCCCGCTCGCAACAGCGACCCAGCTCCGCAACGGTCACGAGACCGCGAACTCTTACCTCACTTCCGCTTCCTGCCCGTCTACGGCGCAGCGTCCCTGCGGGGGATCACATGACTGACCAGCCTCGCGAGCGGCCTGGCTCCGCCCCTGGGATTCCACAGCGGGGTGGGGAACGACCCCCCCCCCCCCGTGGGGATTCTAAGAGAAACCCCGCCCCTTCTTACCCCCAGGCGAATCTTTCAAGCGCAACGGCTCTTCTGATGCGGCTGTTACGCGCCCCTCCCTCCTCCGCAGTGTGGTGTACGCGCGCTCCGTCACCCCTCGCGCCGCTGCCGCCAGCGTTCTCCGAACTCCAGCCCGCTCGCGCACTCTTGGGGGGGTCGGGTCCGCTGTCCCCTGGAACGAAGGGGGCGGGGGAATGGCGCCCTCCAGAGCGCGCGCCGGGGGGTGCTGAGGGGCCGCCCGGTGAAGCTGGCGGTGCGATGACTCCCTCGTCCCGCCCGAGCCGGCCACTGGCGGTTGGAAACAGGCCCCAGGCTAGCCTCTGCTGTATCCGAGGCGCTGATCCCTGCACCTAAAGGTCTCTTAACTGTATCCTACGTGATTACCCCATTTCGGTTTCAGGGCCGGTGCAAGGGTATTTTGCGCCCTAGCCGAAACTTCCACCTTGCGGCCCCCCCCACGCCGACAACCTCCGAAAACTAGTGAACTGAGCATTATATACAGCCTGTCAGAACGGTTAAGGGCTGTCGTAACTTTTTTTTTTTTTTTTTGCCTTTTAGGCATTTCGGTTGTTTGCCATTGCCTCTGTTGGTGTCCCATTCAAAGTCTTATTATTGCGTGAAGCTAAACAATTGAGCCTTGCATTGCATCACCAGCCAGATTAGGCAGGGTGACAAACCCCCCTTGCCCCAAAGGGCCATTATCCCTTGGTGACTAATTTCTACTCCAAGTCTGTAAAGCATACTTAAGGTAAATACATTATTCCTTCAGTATTACCCCTGCATCCATCTCACAATGATTCTCACTCTTGACAAGTTAGCAGCCTTGTGTAAATCCCTTCCACGTTCCTCTTTGTGGGTAAGTGCCTGTAAGACACATGTAGGGTGCAGTGAGTTTGTCAGGCCTGCGGTGACAGCTGTTTATGAAGATCAGGGGGCCCTTTGCCAAGGGGTGCTGGTGTCACAGTGAGCTGACAGTGGTGGCTGACAGTATGGGGCAGGGCACTGAGGCTGGTGGGGCAGGTAACACTCACTGGGCTGGGCGGCAGGCGGTGCTGGGATGGGGCAGGGGCAGGTACAGGTACCTGTCAGTCTCCAGTGCTTGGGCCACGCCAGAGCCAGCCGCCTCTTCACCTCGGAGTCTCTCCCACTTGCCCGGGGGCCACTCCTCCTTTCAGGCTCCCCAGCCACTGCCGCCCGGCGCCACCGTGGAGGAGACACAAGGGTCGGGCTCAGGTGAGGCCCCACACCTGCCCGCCAAGAGCAGCAGGAACCGGGCACCACTCAGGGGGAGCCGGGCCGCCCGAGCCCAGGGCACCTATGCTCCCTGCCTGCCCCTGCTGCTGCTGCCCTGGGCTCGGGCCGCCCTGGGCTCCTGCCGAGCGGCGCCTAGTTCCTGCTGCTCTTGGTCGGCAGGTGCGGGGCCCCAGCCGAGCCTGTCCCCTTGCGTCTCTGTGGCAGCGCCCCCTACTCGCGTCCTCCTGGCTCCCGGGCAGCCGCAGCCAGGGAGGCTGAGAGGATGGGCCCTGGGTAAGTGGGGGAGACTTCAAGGCGAAGAGGCTGCTGGCCCTGGCGCGAACCAAACGCTGGAGACTGACAGGTACTTGCCCCTGAGCAATAGTATAAAAAAAAATTTGGGGGCACCGCTTTTTGTCACCCCCAAATCTTGGCACCCTAGGCAGCCATCTAGTTCGCCTAGTGGTTACTCCAGCCCTGGGTTCACCCCTAGTCTAGCTAACCGGATAACAATTTTTTCCTCAGAAATTATTTTTCTGGCCTTTCATCAACACTCTGCTTTTCTGAATATGCCTTGCCCATTACATTATCATGTGGGTAAAACAATCGAAATACACATGAATAAATAGTAGATGGTTCATTATTTGCATCAATTATACATTATAAGGAAGAGCTGCGAAATCATCATTAGACATACATTCCCTTAGTATACATATTACATCATCTTGAGTCAAATGTAGTGTAACAGATAATTTGGCTAGCCAGTTAAGCACTGTATCTTGGTTACAAGGGCTCATGTGCTTTCCTATGGCTCTAGCCTGCTCTGGTGTAAGAGCTTTACTTTCCTGTTTTACTTGGGGGATTGCCCAATGTTTTCAAATTGGGTAACTGTGGTCACCACAGGAGCCAACAGGCATCCTTTCTGTGTAGCTTCCATCTCCTCCCAGCTTGGAGGTGCAGAGGGGAGCTGCTTTTTCCCACACCAATGTTCTGGTGGATGTTCCTCACACCAATCCATAGTTACGGCAGCCAGGGGGTTAGTATAAATTTCCTTCATTAACCCCTGTGCTAACTGTAGCAGGTCTTGCAGTTGGTTGATGTGGCGTTGACACTCCACATGGGAGGCAGGCTGGCCTTTCCCGATTGTCAGCATCCTCCTTAATTACCTGTTTAACTGCTGCCTGAGATTCCAGCAGTTCTGTGTTTTAACCTCTGCTGTTTCTTTCAGCGGCTGCAGCCAGTGCTGGGTTTACAATGGGAGGAGGAAGGAAAGAATAGGCAACAGTAATATCAGAGGAAGAAAGAACAGGGGGCACACAATCCCGGATGGTGGAGGGACCGTGGCATGTGATGGAGGGAGAAATGGAGGCACACACAGAGCCCTAGCTATGGGGGAAATGGGTACCCAGAAAGGGTGGGGGAATTAAGGGAATTCCTGAAATACAGGGAATGGGAGAATGGTACACAGAGCATCATGGGGGGAAATACGCAATGAGTTTCTGGTGTGTGCAGTAAATTTGACCTACAGAAACTACCAAGGGTGATTCTCTACTAGATTATAACAAAACAAAATAATGATGTAAATTGCTCTACTTAAACCTTCACAGTTATGAGAAAGTGAATCTATACAGGTGCAAATAATACAGTGTTTAAGCTGTAACATTTTATTTAATTGGCATTTGGCAGTGCTTAATACACACAAAGTGAAAGTCAAATGGATGAAAAATTGTACCTCAAGTATCAAATTCTTTCATTTATTAATCTTAGAACCAAATTATATACTAGAAATTTCAGTCATTTTATTAGACAAACATTTGTGAATTTCATAATTGTTTTCTGAAACAATTTTACATCAGAGTAAATACATACATAAAGTAGGAGGTTAAGTAATTGTGAGAAAATATATTTGCTGATGGTGCCTATGGCTGTAATGTGTAAGTGGTCAGTACACAGCATTCTGGCCATCAGAAAGTTTCATTCTTCAAGCAGCCATGCTAGTGATTTCTACAGCTGGTTGTTTCCAGAATTTTCATTGCAACTGTCCGCACCAAAAGTTTTTAAAAACTCATACCCAATAAGTAACAGCATCATATTAAGTGTCCTTTAAAGTGGTATTGCCAAATTTGCCTTTGAATATTTCAAATATGTTGATCCCATACCAAAAATGACACATGAACTCTAGCTTGTCAGTTACTTAAGAAGTTTTGGCACACTTAGTGTAGGAACTGTAATTTCTTTAAAAATTGGCACATAGTTAGGATTTGGTTGGCTTGAACCTTGGTCCAGAGTTTCAATGATGGTCTGTTTCATGTCCCTGCTGGCATCTCCTCTTACTGTCAGCAAAGCCGCAATGTGGTCATCCCTGCCAAACAAAGGTACAAACCAGAAATGTCAGTACAAACCTTTGTACAGGTAATTAAGCACTTGACAAAATGTGTTACATCACAAATTTTCTATCTTTTGACTCAGTGCCACAGTACCTTTGCTTAGCAAGGCTTCCAGACATTCAAATATTGTGCTCACAGGTCAACTTCTCAGTTTCTTTGTCAAGAATTCTCTCCTCCCACTTTGAAACTATGAGATGAATGCTGTGTAATATAAATTTATTCTATATTCCCAAAATATTTCCTTTGATATGTCAGAGTACATATCCACCCACACCACTCTAGCATATGTGTGTTAAAATATTAGCATTTTATTGTATCGATCTCACAAGAAGGTTATTAAACCATACAATAGAAAAAACAATAAAAGGATATACATAGCCCGCACAGGACTACTCTTTAGCCTAGAACTAATCTTAAAGAATCAATACTGTTAAAACTCAAAGCTAAGAAACAGTATGAATGGTATTACCTGATGTCTGGGTATTTACTAACTAAAGTTGAGACTTCCAGATAAAGCAATGAAGGATCAGTCAGCTTGATAACTTCTGCAATGGCTACAATGATGTCACAAAGCCCTTCAGTGTCCTCTTCAGATCCCTATAAATTGAACAACAAAAAACATAAGCAACAAAATTCTTTAACCTTTACTCTCAATATTTTGTTACAGACACTAACTGCATTATTTATTTTCAGAACTTCAGCTGAAATTTCAGATAAATTATTAGTAAAATTGGAAGGAAAAAAAGGCCACTTAACAGATGATATTTTCCTCATTCTCGGTCTCCAATTTTCCCAATATGTTTGGACCAAGCTACTTTAGTTTTTCTTGATCAATATTGTTTGCCTAATCTAATCTGTACCATGTCCATCACCTGGTTATCTGAGTGTCTAAACATTTATTTAGTTTCAGCTGGATACTCTTTCATAGACCAATGTTCTTTTCTTTCCCCCTTAAATTCAGGAATTAACACTTTTTTGTCTGCTTTAGGACAGACCACCACCACATATTAGTGATTCATGGCTCTGAAGAGAATGGCCTGCAGTTTCAAGTACAGTAGAACCTCAGACTTAAGAACACCAGAGTTACAAATTGACCAGTCAACCACACACCTCATTTGGAACTGGAATTATGCAATCAGGCAGCAGCAGACACAGACACAGACACACACAAAGCAAATACATACAGTACTGTGTTAAATGTAAACTTCTAAAAAAATAAAGGTTTCAGAGTAACAGCCGTGTTAGTCTGTATTCGCAAAAAGAAAAGGAGTACTTGTGGCACCTTAGAGACTAACCAATTTATTTGAGCATAAGCTTTCGTGAGCTACAGCTCACTTCATCGGATGCAACCGATGACTGCATCCGATGAAGTGAGCTGTAGCTCATGAAAGCTTATGCTCAGATAAATTGGTTAGTCTCTAAGGTGCCACAAGTACTCTTTTTTTAAAAAAAAATAAAGAGAAAGCATTTTTGTTTTGCATAGTAAAGTTTCAAAGCTGTATTAAGTCAATGTTCAGTTGTAAACTTTTGAAAGACAAACCATAACGTTTTGTTCAGAGTTGTGAACATTTCAGTTACGAACAACCTCCATTCCTGAGGTGTTCGTAACTCTGAGGTTCTACTGTAATACAGTTCTGTTGGCTCCTCTAGGCTCATCTCTGACAAGAACCCCATTTTTTTTCAAGGAGCTAATTTTTACTCTGTATGCTATTTAGGCACTTGGATTCTCATCTTCCAAAGCTCAGTCATCAGCAGGATACTTCTCAAAATAATTGTTCAGGGTCACTCCCATGTGTATTACAGAAGTTAGAGATGGAAAAAGCCTATTAGAGGTCATCTAGTTCATCTCTGTGTTGATGCAGGATTGATTCCTACAGTACACTTCTAATATTTGGTCTAGTATTGTTTTAAAATGTCCTAAGTATTTTACCACTTGCATTCAAAGATTATTCCATAGCTGAATACATCTTGCAGCACTGACATGCAAAGTGCCTGAAATTGTCTGTCAAGCTTCTGTTTGCAGTGTTGTTGAAGCCGTGTTGGTCCCAGGATATTAGAGACAAGGTGGGTCAGAGAATATCTTTTATTGGACCAACTTCTGTTGGTGAAAGACAAGTTTTTGAGCTTACACAGAGCTCTTCTTCAGGTCTGGGAAAGGTACTCAGGGTTTGTCTTTATGTACAGCGCTACAGCAGCGCAGCTGCACCGGTGCAGATGCGCCACGGCAGCACTTTAGTGAAGATACTACTATGCCAATGGGAGAGCTTCTTCTGTCAGTGTAGTTAATCCACCTCCCCAAGAGGTGGTAGCTATGTTAATGGGAGGAACTCTCCTGTCAACATCTCTCTGTCTTCCTTAGGTCGATATAACTACATCGCTCGGGGTGTGGATTTTTCACACTGCCGAGGGACGTAGTTATATTCATATAGTCTGTAGTGTAGACCTGGCCTCAGAGTGTCACAGCTAAATACAATGTGGAACAGATAAAGAGTTAACATGTTGCAAGAGACCATTCAAGGTGTTAACTGCTCATCACAGGACAAAGTAGGGTTAGTGGGCTACACTTGTAATGAGCCATAAATCCACTAAATGCCCTAATTACAACTACATGAGTGAAACCAGACAATCAGGAGGCTCTCAAATGTGGCTCAGAAAAGTGATTGACAGAAACACCTTATCACCCTTTCGTAAACACTTTTCACAAAACAATCACTCCATATCTGACCTCTCAGTCCTCGTCCTCAAAGGAAACTGGCACAAAAATGTCCAAAAGATGAGTTTGGGATCTGAAATTCATAACTGCTAGATACCAAAACTTAGGGACTTAATAAAGACACTGGATTTATGGCTCATTACAATAATCTGTAACCCACTAATTCTTCTTTGTCCTATGACTGTATAGGTATTAACTGCCTACTTCACGTTGAATGGTCTCTTGCATCATGTGTTAACTCATCTGTCCCATCTTGTCTTTAGCTGTGACACTCTGAGTACCTTTCCCAGACCTGAAGAAGAGTTCTGTGTAAGCTTGAAAGCTTGTATTTTTCACCACTAGAAATTGTCCAATAACACATAATACTGCAGCCATCTTGTATATTAAACTTCTGCACAACTGAATTCAGGAGTCCAACATTACAGCCTAAATTCATACTCAGAATTCCAGAAAGGATGCAATAATGCCCCAGAAAACTTAAAACAGAAAACAGAAAAGTCTCTTCAGACCAATTAACAAGTTTGAACATCTTGCATACAATGTTTTACCCCAGAATTAAATATCTATACATCTTTAGGAAAAGTCAAATTTACATATCTGATCCTTTGTTAACTATCAGATTAACAGCAAAATTGGAGAGTACAAATACTTACAGCTGCTAATTTTTTAAACAGAAACCTGAACTGGTCTGCTTCTTTGATCATTCTTTCTGCACCTTCTTTTCTCTCTTCTGCATTCTTGAAAGATATACGTTTTAACATGATAGCCTTGATGTACTCCATAACCACTCTACGATGGGCCTCAACAGTCATTTTCTGAGGAAGAAAAATATTAGAGTTGTACCAGTTAATTTAAAAAACTACCTGTCACTTCTGGAGAGAGGTATAATCAGGCTTTAAAAATGTACTTCTGCACTCACAACTGGCCCAAAGGTAGCTGTCCCTCACAAGTGCCTGCAGCAGCAGTGAAAGGTTCTTGTAAGTTTCAAAAAGCTGCTTTTGCTGGTGGGGAACTTTATGAACAGCTGCAGAGTCTTTGGGTCAAAATCTGGTTTTAGACACACACATGTAAATCCAAAGTAAAATGCTACTGAGTTGCACAGAGTTGCTCTAAATTTACATCGGAGTAGCAGAGATAAGAATCAGATCTCCTGTGCTGAAGGAAGGGGCCAGATACCGGTAAGGTTGAGGCATTAGAGATACGATTGCTTTTGGTGATGGATCTGGACTGTTTAGGAGCTCAGAAGCTCCCAAGAAATGGTGTAGATAAATGATGACTGTGAAAGACTTAAGAGGAAGCTTGATACAGACCTTTCTTGTTCTCTCCTAAATATTTACCAAAGGTTCCCACACACTGATAAACTCAGTGTCCTCCAGGCTATCGGTGACAAGGAGGTAAACTACACTGCGTCTTCAGTGATGAAAAGGCAGATGGTGGTGCTGAGGGAGCAGATAAAAGTAAGGGTCTGCTGGTTGTCAAAAGCTGTGTTGGCCCAAATCCCTTACAATGAGATGGTGGTACAGACTGTGTGTTGAAAAGCCAATACTAAGCTCTGAAGTAGACAGAGGTCTTCTCTGTGCTAAACGTTTTTGGTTCAAGGTCACAGAAATATCCTTGTAAAGTAAGCTGATCCCTGGATTAGGACTAATTCCAGGAATGACTTGTCTTTTTCTTCTGATTTTTTTTTTTATTTAAGAAGTGGTTCTATGAGAAGTGTTAGACCTCCAAACCTATAAATATGGAAGGAGAAGATGTCAAAATTGTCTTCACTAGGGCTAAAAGTCCTTTTTCAGAAGGACTCTGACCAGTCTCTTCTAGTCTTTTGAGCCTGAAAAGTAAGGGAGGTTTAGCTACATGTAATTTGAAAGAAGGTCCTTATTCCAATCATTCCAAATTATTAGAGAATGCATCAGATTTTATGTTCAGCGAACTTTCCTAAACCCATGTCAGCTTCAGCCATTTTATGTTGATAATTTAGAAAGCTGGGAGGAAAACCTTGTAAAAATTATTTTAACTACACAAAACTGAATTAAAATTAAACTGATTAAAGGGAAATGCCCAAGCACAATATATTAAAAAATAAAAAATAAAAAGTAGGTTTAATCTACAGTACAGCAGCAGTTCAAAGATCCATTGGCAGACAGAAAAAAAAGGAGCTGAGTTGGGACATTATGCCTCTAACAATTCTACTTTTAGCTTGAGGTTTATGCCCTCAAGTAGGCTGATTGCTTTATATTGGTTCTGAAATTTACAGAACATGCAATTCCAAGAATGTATTGCAGAAGTGCAGCGATAGCATTGAGACCAAAAATCAATCTATCGATCGATATAAACAGGCGCGAGGATCGCAATCTAGTGAAATACTGCTATTCTAAACTCCTGTGAACTTTATGGGCTAAATCCTTTAGTCTTAATCTTCCTTAGGAAGAGTTAATAGGACTCTGAGTGAACAAAGTAGACATGAGAAAATTAGGATTTTTTTGTGATAGATTTGTTTTTTACGAATAAGCAATGTTATTTTTTTCTGAATTTTTCTGAATTTTCTGAATTAATAAAATGTTCAATAAATTAATCCAACTTGATAGAGCATATTACCTGAGAATTATGTTAGGCAAAATACCTTTTTATAGGGTTTTTTTATTCTTGCAAAATCATTGAAATAATCCTCTACAGTGACACAGATGGTGTCCACAGCATTGGATCCAGTCAGCCACTTCTTTGTCATCAGCTCATTGAGATGTGGCTGAAAAAACAATGAAAACTAATCAGAACAATTTCTGAACGGTGCCTATCCCCTCATTTCCAACAGATCTTAAAATGAAGTTCAAAACAACAGGTAAAGTTGATTCCACAAATGTAGACCCATTTGTAAGTCTTTCATATGAAACAAGTAACTACATATACAAATAGATCTGACTGGTAGTAAAAAAAGGACAGTATTGTCATATTAGCATACAAAAACTAAAGTAAGCAGCCAACTATTGACTCTAGTATTTGCTTTGTGTTAGTTCATTGACAGTTTAAGGGTGTTTACTATGGATAAGGTAACAATTTTATCCTGTCCTAAATAAACTCAGAGGTGAAAAGAACAAAACGTTTATTAGCCCAAGATAAAAGGTACTTACGTAACAGTTGTAATTGTTCTTATACTGAAATATTATCTGTCCTCTCCCGAATGAGCTATGATCGGCTACCACAAATTCCTCCTCTGACTGGCTACTTCCCCCAGAACTCCACAAGTCCACACCAAAACTGGTGGCCTAAATGTCTGTGTCTCCCCATTACCTCTCCCCACTTACTTTATTTGCCTCTTAAGTCTTAATTCCTCATTTCCCTCTCTAAGAATATTCTTTATAAAATATTGAATTTTATATCTCATATGAACAATGTGAGCGTCTGCACAAGGAGTTAAGAAGTCGGGGCAAGGGGCATGTCTGGGGAATTCTAATGGAAGGATTTTGTTCCTAATTCCCATATACTTCTTGATAAATAAGTAACTGGAGCTGAGCAGCTCCTAAGGTTCATAAGAAAAAAGTTTTCTGTGAACCTTCCATAGTGCATGGATATGGCTTGTGGTCAAACACTTACAGAATATGGAATTCAAAAGTGCTATTGCTAGTTTGTTGCAAAGCAGCAGAGCTACTAAGCCCTAGAGGAGTCGACTCCTTTTTATTCTCCCCCACTTTTTTCTTTAAAAAACCCACCACGTTCCAAGGGAAATGCCATACAAGAAACCATGTTAAAGTTGCATGTTTCAGAACCAAAAAGTTAGGAAATGCCACTGTTAAGGTTGCAGGCACAACCTTAACTCTTCCCCTTTCAACATGTGCTTGATACACTCTCATTACATGATCTTAAGTTATTTCCCAAATAATGCAATATATTAGCCTTTATTTTCCCTACAACTTTGGATACTCAAATGTTACGTCAGCACAATATACTTAGTATATGCTAGACACACACTGCCTACTCAAATCATTGGTGTGAAGTGTACGCAAGTCTATTTTTACACAACATACTACATATATTATTGCCCTGCACTGGTAAGTTTGTTGACATATTGCCATTATGCAATACAAAAACGACCTCACTAGCAGCCAAGATAGCTTCTTAATTAACGTCCTTATTCCTGAATTTCATAATAAAAAAGGCTCTTTTTGGAGGAAAAAAAGTTCCAACCTCTAAATCCATGAAGACTTCATCTAGCAGGCTAGAGCATCCTTCCTTGGCAATGGTGTCTAAAATTACATCCATGTTTGCATGGCTGCTTGACATTCCCTCTTCCATTTCATTTTTCAAATATTTCCTTTTCAAACTGATTATAGATTCTCTGCGATAAACAAGAAAATTTTTCAGCATCCAGTCTGACATGTACATACTAGTACACTGTTATTAAATTGTGTTTGTGAGTGCATGTGTATGAATGAATTACACATTGGGTGGTGTTGGTTTGGGAGGATGAATGGCCTTTGAAGCCTGCCCTCTAGGTCTTTATTCCAGCACCCGGCTATGTCCCTTTAATGACTACCTTAGGGTGCCACTGTGCATGTGTGACTACTTTTCTACAGATATAGAGGTCTGGAGGGCCAAAGGAATGGATGTGAGGGTTTGAGTCCCTTGATCTCTGAAGTAATGGGCAGGTGGGATACCAGGCAAGAAAAAACATGGTATTGGCACCAACGTTTAGATATTCAATCTCTTTTGCATTATTTTGGCCTAGAGTCAGTTCTCAAGAAGCTGGGATGTCAGAAGAGATTCCAGTCTTAGAAGTATGCTGTTAAATGCAAGATTGGTCGTTAAAACGTCAACTCTTCATGATTTAATTAAAGAGGAGGGCTCCTCTTCTGTGTATATTACCGAAATTTCATTATAGCTGGACTGATTTGGGAACAGTTGGTACTGGGCTGGTATTTAGTACAGCATGAACAAAAGGGGGATTGATAGAGAGGGAACATAATTCTTTTTGCATCCACTCTTGAAAAGTTGAAGGTCTCCTACCCCAAAACTGAACTGAACAAAGGATAGTCATCTTTAATTGTTGATGCAAGTCCCAGGCTGGAGTTAAGTTGTAACTTCCCTCTTGTATTTCAAAATCCCTGTGTGATCTAATAAAATTCTTCACTATAGCAATCTTGGAAGAAACGAAGCTGATAGTGCTCATTGACTGAAAAAATCCATCAAGAATTCTTAGAATCATCTCAGGTTTTCATGGCACTGACCACCACAGGCCCACTAAAGATGGTTACGGGCTCCATTCACATAGTTGATCACACTTTTTATATAATATTTGGGCCAAAACTGGAGGTTAGAAAGTTGGAAATTAGGTCCTCCTCATGAACCATTATCTTCTACATTTTGAGATTGGGGCACTCTTATCCTGTCAGAACAAGGGATATGATTTGATTGTCTTCAAAATGTAATGAATCCACAGTACTACCAAAAGATCATGAGAGATTATATTGGTCCTCTTCCAGATCAACCTATCAAGCATTTGGTAAGATTTTATAATAATAATTTATCCTCAATCATTACAGTGGTCTCTACAGACCCTTTTCTCCAGCTTTGCCTACACAGGTCACAGTGGTTTACAGATGAGTTATGACAGATCAAGCATAAGGCAAAACGGCTAGAGTGCCCATGGCAGAAGCCATGGGCTAAAGCAATTTGATAAAGATTTCTTTAAATTCTCATGCCATGGCTCAGAGAGGCAAAAAAAAAAAAAAAAGTTATTTTTCTTTCCAAAACTCTGCAATGTCTTAGTTGGTGGTTTTATTTTGAGTGGTGGACAGCTTGATTAGCCTGAGCTGCTTTTGCTCAGTGGCCAGTTTTGGTGTCACCTTAAATGGATTGGGACCTGCCTTTTTCCCCCTGCTGTCAGGTGAGATACTTGAGCTGAAGCCCCCTTCGTATAAAAAAGAAGGAACAGCTGGAAGGGGATTCTCCAAGAGGGGCCTTCAATCTAGGTTTCTTATATGCATTATAAATTCAGATAAATAAATATGGATTTTTTTACAATATCGTATAAATGTGCAAACTTACTTAAAGGTCTGACAGTTGTTGATTACTGCAATCATATATTGAACATAGCACTGAGGATGCTGACGATTTTTTAGGTGCTCCTCTTTATATAATTGGGCTTCTTCTTTGTACCTGCAGAAAACCCAAAGAGGTATTAAATACATGAAAAGCTACACAATCCTAAGCCAAATGCCTACTGATAGCCTGAGGAACATTTACAGGTGTTTTGTGGAAAGCTGGTTGATCACATAGTATTGGATCTCCTCTGTTTCCACCTGATTCCACAGGTCTCTAGGATTTCCATGGCAAGACTTTAAAAATCAGCTGAGTACAAGAAGGATGTGCCTGCCTAGCTGCCTCTATTCGGAACCATTGCTGTATTGCAGAAGATAGAGAGTCAGGAGCTGATCTCAAGAACTTGACCGCCAGTGGGATTGGAGCTGCCAGTCACCAAAAGAACAAAATTTCCAGGGGGAGTGGAGAAGGAAAAAAGGCAGCAAGGTACCATGTCCAGTGGAAAAAGGACAAGGTAGCATATCTGGGAGAGAACGGGGACCAGGGAATAGGGAAGCATGTACAAGGAAGCAAAGGTAGGAGTATGGGACACAGAGAGAGGGAGGATTAAGAGACTCCAGGAGTACTTTTTTTTTTTTTTTTACCTTGTCAGGAATGAATTCATTTGTTGAAGACAGAGAAGCAGTACCTTCATTTTCAAATCTTCACTTATCTGAGCAGCCACCTGAAGATTCTGCTCAAACATCTAAAATGAGAAATAGGTTAGTTATAAAGATAGACCAATAGCTGGAATAGCGACACAAACATGGCAGGATTCCCTACAAAATGCTGTTTGGAGATGTAAACTGCTATTTGGAGATGAAATCCCCTGCATTTTTTTTTTTAATTAAATCTCTCCTGGCTAATCCACAAAATAGCAATTGCCACGAATTTAATAGGTAACTTCTTGCCAGGCATCCACGTCTGATTTTTTTAAATGGTACTGAGAGGAAGTCAGATATTTTCCATGTGGGGAAGCATCCCCACATCTCCAAATCAATGCTGATTTGCTCTTCATGGTGGACCAATGTCTTTAAGTCACCTCCTGCACCATTTCCCACAGTATTCTTGCCAGCAAGTTAAAAAAGTATGGATTGGATGAATGGACTATAAAATGGATAGAAAGCTGGCTAGATTGTCAGGCTCAACGGGTAGTGATCAACGGCTCAATGTCTAGTTGGCAACTGGTATCAAGTGGAGTGCCCCAGGGGTTGGTCCTGGGGCTGGTTTTGGTCAACATCTTTATCAATGATCTGGATGATGGGATTAATTGCACCCTCAGCAAGTTCACAGATGACACTAAACTGGGAGGAAGAGGTAGATATGCTGGAGGGTAGGGATAGGGTCCAGAGTGACCTAGACAAATTGGAGGATTGGGCCAAAAGAAATCTGATGAGGTTCAACAAGGACAAGTGCAGAGTCCTGCACTTAGGAAGGAAGAATCCCATGCACTGGTATAGGCTGGGGACCGACTGGCTAAGCAGCAGTTCTGCAGAAAAGGACCTGGGGATTACAGTGGACGAGAAGCTGGATATGAGTCAGCAGTGTGCCCTCGTTGCTAAGAAGGCCAGTGGCATATTGGGCTGTATTAGTAGGAGCATTGCCAGCAGATCAAGGAAAGTGATTATTCCCCTCTATTCTGCACTGGTGAGGCCATACCTGGAGTATTGCGTCCAGTTTTGGTCCCCCCCACTACAGAAGGGATGTGGACAATTTGGATAGAGTCTTGCGGAGGGCAACAAAAATGATTAGGGGGCCGGGGCACATGACTTACAAGGAGAGGCTGAGGGAGCTGAGGTTATTTAGTCTGCAGAAGAGTGATGGGGGATTTGATAGCAGCCTTCAGCTACCTGAAGGCGGGGTTCCAAAGAGGATAGAGCTCGGCTGTTCTCAGTGGTGGCAGATGACAGAACAAGAAGCAATGGTTTCAAGTTGCAGTGGGGGAGGTCTAGGTTGGATATTAGGAAACACTATTTCACTAGGAGGGTGGTGAAGCACTGGAATGGGTTACCTAGGGAGGTGGTGGAATGTCCATCCTTAGAGGTTTTAAAGGCCCAGCTTGACAGAGCTCCGGCTGGGATGATTTAGTTGGTGTTGGTCCTGCTTTGAACAGGGGGTTGGACTAGATGACCTCCTGAGGTCTCTTCCAACCCTAATCTTCTATGATTCTACCTATTCCTGCATATGCAAGAGATAACTTGGTATCAGAAGAATGCTCACAACTGGGCACAAGCTGAAGGTGCTCTAAAAATTGTGGGGGATGAGTGGGAAGGGAATGGGGAGAAGACATACAGATGAAAAAGAGAAGGGAAATAAATGAGAACTTGAGAGGATATACAGGCTACCTTTATGCTGGCAAGTTTCTGAAAGACTTTCATTGTTCCATTAGTAGTGGAGCTGCTCCACCGATGCGGTTAATGGTTGTAGTGCTAGTGTAGATCAGTCACCAGCATTTTAACTATTTGTCATCTAGCCTTGTTCAGAACCCATAACCAGAACTGGTGCGAGTACAAGTGTGGATAAATTTGATGAAAACCTTAGTGTAGATGAGGTCATGGAGACAAGGTGGGGAACATATGAGAGACTGGGAAAAGAAACTCATCTGTTCCCTTAAGATATTTGCCAACTACTTTTAAAGATAACCTGCAAAATTAAAAAAAATGGGTTTGTGACTACTTTTTATGATTTATAAAGAATGTTTGAAAGGCTCACACACACACAAAAGGGAGGTTGTTTCTACTTTTTTAATCTTAGGAACATCAAGACCTGTCTTCCCTATTTTTGCTGAAGGACTTCTTTGATGATTCACATGTGGATTGGTGGGAGCTCTTAACTGAAGTAGCATTTAAAGGGTGAGGTTTTTGGATCCTTCAGAGAGCGCTTTTCCTCCCAAGTGTTTTAGGGCCTATCTACATTAGGAAATTTGCATTGGTGTAGCTATCCTGGTGTAAACTTCTAATACTGATGCACTGTACCAGTATGATTACTCCAGTTGCTTCCTGAAGTAAGTTACATGGGTAGTTTTGCATCAGTGTAGAGCAGGGGTGGGCAAACTATGGCCCGTGGGCCGGATCTGGCCCGCCAGCCGTTTTAAGCCAGCCCTTGAGCTTCTGCTGGGGAGCGGGGTCTGGGGCTTGCCCTGCTCCAGCGCTCCAGCCAGGGAGCAGGGTCAGGGGCTGCTCCACGCAGCTCCCAGAAGCAGCGGCATGGCCCCACTCCAGCTCCTACGTGTAGGGGCAGCCAGGGGGCTCCACTCTGCACACTGCCCCCACCCCAAGTGCCGCCCTCACAGCTCCCATTGGCCGGGAACTGCGACCAATGGGAGTTGCAAGGGTGGTGCCTGTGGACGGGGCAGTGCGCAGAGCCACCCGGCCATGCCTCCGCATAGGAACTGGAGTGGAGACATGGCCACTGCTTCCAGGAGCTGTTTGAGGTAAGCGCCGCCCAGAGCCTGCACCTCTAAGCCTCTTCCTGCACCTTAACCCCTGCCCCAGCCATGATTCCCCTCCTGCCCTCTAGACCCCTCAGTCCCAGCCCAGAACAACCTCCTGCACCCCAAACTCCTCATCCCCAGCCCCACCACAGAATCCGCACCCCCCAGCTAGAGCCCTTACCCCACCCCACCCACACCCTACTCCCCCCCCGGCCTGGAGCCCTCTCCTGTACCCTGAACTCCTCATTTCTGGCCCTACCCCAGAGCCTGCACCCCCAACCAGAGCCCTCGCCCTCGCCCCCTCCCACACCCCAACCCAATTTTGTGAGTATTCATGGCCCGCAATACAATTTATTCCCATTCCCAAATGTGGCCCTCAGGCCAAAAAGTTTGCCCTCCCCAGTGTAGAGAATCCACATTAGGAGTTTAAAAAGAAGTAGATATGAGTAGTTACTTCAGTGCAAATTTCTCTAATATAAACAGATTATTAGTTAAACAGGTGTTAGCATAGAAATGCTAACAAAAACGCCCAAATGAACAGTTTTAAACTGTCTGAATAAGAATAATTTCCCTTTTCATTCAGGTTTCACATTCTTCGTCTCACTGATGTCATGAACCTACTAGTTTGCCAGTCAGTCGTACTCTTCCACAATTGACAAACCCTGACTTTCTAGTGTAAAAAAAAAACAAGCAGGGAAATTTTTTAAATTAACTCATACCTGAAAAACAATAGCTGGGAGTGTAGTCTGATAGTACCCATCTTGATCTGCTTCTGGCTCAGTTTCTTTTATCCAGTCTTTTTTATCTGTCTCCAGTGCTTTTCGTAGCCAACCAATGATGTTGGACTGCAATAAATAAAATTAGATTAAAAAGAAACAGGAAAAAGCAAAGACAAAATTACTTGGGATCAGAATAGGAAAAAAACCCACCATGGCCTTTAGACAAATATCCCTTTTCATAATTAAACTAATAAGGAAAATCAGTTTTCACTCACTCTCATGGCTACTGTTACAACAATCACTGCAGTATTGAGGTGCCATATACAAAATTGAGATTCACACGGATTATGTACAAAAAGATCAATACAACTTCAGACTACAATCTCACAAGATTCCAACTAAATCAAATCAAATTTGGCCAGTATTTGGATGGGAGATCTCCAAAATTCAAAAAGAAATAGAACATTATATATAAGAGCTAACACTAACACGTTTCAAAAGATTTGCACTGTAAAAAAGATCAACAAAAGAAATAGTATTTTTCATTCACCTCATACAAGTAATTGCAGTGCAATCTCTTTATCACGAAAGTGCAACAAATGTAGATTTTTTTCTTTTAACATAACTTCACTCAAAACCATAATACGTTAGAGCCTACAAGCTGAAGCACGAAGGGGCATGTGACTGTTTAGCATATCTGGCACATTAATACCTTGCAACACCAGCTACAACAGTGCCATGCAAATGGCTGTTCTCACTTTCAGGTGATATTGTAAATAAGAAGTGGGCAGCATTATCTCCCGTAAATCTAAACAAACTTGTTAGTCTTAGTGATTGGCTGAACAAGAAGTAGGACTGAGTGGACTTGTATGAGGGGAACTGAAAAATACTATTTCTTTTCTTCATCTTTTTCTACAGTGCTAATATTTATAATAAAAAATAATAATATAAAGTGAGCACTTTACACTTTGTATTCTGTGTTGTAACTGAAATCAATGTATTTGAAAATGTAGAAAAACATCCAAAAATATTTAGAATACCAATTTAAATTTGTATTCTATTATTGTTTAACAGTGTGATTAAAACTGTCATTAATTGCACTTATTTTTTAAAATCTAATTAATTTGTTTTGTGTTAATTGCATGTATTAACTGCAATTAATTGACAGCCCTCTATATGTAATCTAACCATTTATGTGAATTTAGGAGTCGTTAAATTACAAAACACCACAGTGGCCACGTCTCATGGCTGATAACTTCTATACAGCATAAATAATCCTTTGTGTTTTATTGAAATGTAGCCATGAAATCATTTGATTAACTGTTCAAAGCCAAATGCTCATGTATATGAAGTTCACAAAATTCATTACACCCAATTAAAGTTTAAGAAAAAGTCACAAGTTTTTCCTCTGATGAAACAGCATTTTAAGAATTTAGGTACAAACACAACGTGTCTTATTT